TCCCTGTCATGGGTAGGGATGCCTGTCACCTAGATCAGGCTCCTCAAGGCTCTGTCCAACTTGGCCTTGAACATCTCCAGGGAGGGGGCAGCCACAACATCTCTGGGCAATTTATTCCAAAGTCTTGCTGCCCTCGTACTGAAGAATTTCTTCCTAAGGTCCAATCTAAATCTATTCTCCTTCAACTTAAACCCATTTCCCCTTGTCCTATCAGTGGACACTCTTGTAAAAAGTCCCTCCCCAGCCCTCCTGTAGGTTCCCTTCAGGTACTGGAAGGCAGCTATTAGGTCCCCCCCAAGTCTTCTCTTTTCCAGACTGAACAGTCTCAGCTCCCGCAGCCTGTCCTCGTAGCAGAGGTGCTCCAGCCCCTGGATCATCCTTGCGGCCTCCTCTGAACTCGCTCCAACAGATCCACGTCCCTCTTATGGTGGGGGCACCAAAACTGGACACAGTATTCGAGGTGGGGCCTCAGAAGAGCAGAGTAAAGGGGGAGAATCACCTCTCTTGACCTGCTGACCGTGCTTCTCTTGATACATCCCAGGATGCAGTTGGCCTTCTGGGCTGTATGAGCACACTGCTGGCATATCCCAGACATGCTGTGCTCTGAGATTCTCAATTTCTAGCCCTTTTTCCAGGGATGAAAACCTGGCGCAGAGGGTGGGGAGGAGGAAGAGCCAGATTCCTAGCAGAACCTTGGAGCCAGCTTCCTCACTAAATATCATTCTGGCTTCCCTATAATGCCTCCCACCACAAGAGTCTGGCTGCAAAAATACTGCCTTTCCAAAGCCCAAGAGCTTTACCCAGGATTTTTCCAATTGTATCTGTCATTCTGGATGACTGGTGAAATTGCTCAAACCCTCAAGATATTACAGCGCTGCTAGAAAAGTCAGGACACTGGCTGAACTCAACGGAGAGGTGAATACAGTTGCATAAAATCTGCAGAGCAACTCCACCACAGACACGCATCAGCATGTGCTGCCTGAAGTGTGGGATGTGTGCTATAGTAATTTTACCTATCGTCACTTTCCATTTCAGACATCTTTTGGTAACTGCAGAACCCAGAGTTGACAAATCTTCTGCATCCCAGCAGTTCAGGCTCCCATTTATCTGAGCAATCCACGAGGATGTGCTGATGCTTGGGCAGCTGCTGCATTTCCTGTTCCAGGTTGGAAATGTTCTTTCATTTCAGATAAAACACAGGTGTGTTTTAAACTCTCTTTCCTCATTTCTATAAATAACTCTACTGAAAATTATTCTCCTTCATTTGCTGTTGCCTCAGTTGTAAGACAAAGAAAAAAGGATGAAAGACACAAAAATGAGCCAAAAAATTCAAAAGGGCACTTGCACAACATAGGAACGGCAAAATACACTACGTTGGTTTTACTCACCTTAGGCTTTACTACATCTATTCAAGTAAATCCTTCCTCAGTGGCTTATTGATTGCCAGTTTGATTGCTCTCTTGAATTCTAACACCCATAACCTCAATTTTACAATATCAATGGGAAAACATAAAAGCCACACACTCTGCAGGATAAATGCATTAGTATGGTGCCGTTATCTATTTACCAGCCCCCAGCTGCACTCACACAGGCTGGCGCTGCAGGTGGCCAGCAGCATTGAAAGCAGAAGAAAGCTTCATTTCTCTACTTGTAATCATACTTCACATCTAAACCACACAGGCTATTTAAATAATCTTTCAAAGAATGCCGAAGAGAAGAGAAAAAGAAAACCACCACGCTGGATAATTCCACCTATGCCTGTGTTTAATATGAAAACACAAGTTTCTTAACATTCAGAGAGGTTTCCTGCCAGCCCCGGTGGCACCCCGGAGCTCAGGCCAGTGCAACCTGTCAGTCACTGTAGGTGACCCTCTCGCCCCATCTCCCACCATCCATGGGGCTTTGTCCCCAAAGAACAAGTGCAAAAGCGCTCTCTCAACCATGGCTTATCGTTAGCAGACACATTTATCACCTATTTTAAGGAAATACCAGTGGCAAGACAGCTCTCAGCACATAGCCTTCCCCGTTCCCAAGCGAGCAATCTGTATTTCTGTCCTCGTCCCGTAGGCTTGCTCAGCCCACTGGCTTCTCAGCTCAGGTGGTCCACGAGTTATCTCACTTTCCAGTTTACTCAAACCTATCACGAGCAGCATTATGTGTTGCTAAAAGCCCCATAAGGTATACATTCAATAGCAAAACCACTTCTGTAATCATGAAAAATAAAAGATTGAGTCATCATCAATGTGACGGGGAAAAAAGCAAGACTACAGGCTTTTGCAGCTACACTTGGCTGGCAGAAGTTCCTGATTCCATCAGGCACCAGTTCGGCAACTGCTAACTTAGAGGCTTTCTGCTAGTTGGTCTACTGTGCTGGGTTTTTCTGAAGGCTAGCGTGAGCACAGGAATCCCAGAAAGCGGTCTGTGTCCCTTTCCAGGGGACATTATAAAGCCGACAGCTCATTTGAATGAGCTTACATTCGAAAAAAAAAAGCCTGGAGTTTTCACTTTATTGATGCACTCTTCCCCCCAGGATTTTTTTCAAAATCTACATCAAACAAGGAAAAACAAATGCTGAGAGGGCAGATTTAGGGCAATTTATCAAGGTCTGGGAAATAGCTTCCAGATGGACAGAGCTGTTTGGTGCTGGCTGGTGAGAAGGAAGCAAGGTATTGTTATTGAATTAGCATGAATCTCTGGTGGAGAGCTGTGTGGTAGATAGAGTGCTCCTTTCATATGGTTTGCATTTGGACCTGTCATATTTCATTTTTATTCAGAAACTTGCGGTAAAGACACGCAGTTCTTTTTTGCTTATTAAATTTCCACCAGTTCTCCCCGTACCGCTATCCAGTCAGTATTTTTAAACTCTGCTCTAAGTGCCACGCCTGCGCCTGCTTGCTCTTTGCCATGCTCGGATGACAGCTCGGTGCTTACAAGCTCACAAGTGGGTTTAGGTTTTGCATTCACAGGCCAAATGTTACCTGAGAAAACGAGCGAGAGAGAAAAGCTGGATGCTCTGTGTTTAAACTGAGTTGCTTCAGCTCTATGTTTAAACTGAGTTGCTTCAAGAGTTTATCAAAATTTTTAAAAGTAAAATGGTGCATACTGATGTCTAATGAGCACTAGAAAGTAACTGCTAATATATCTAGAGGATTATTCTTGTTAATAAATCCTCCCTTTGTAAACATGTCTTCTAGCAGCATAAATACATCTACACTAATGCATTTGTTAATACAGAAATACCGTAAAAGAAGCCCCAAAAGGCTAAGGGCAAACAAAAGATATGCTCCTAACCAACAATTTCTACTTGAATAACCTGGATACCTATTCCACAATGAACGCCTTACAGAGTAAGACACACACACACACACAAAGATTTAGGTATTTTTCTGCTCGTTTTGAAAGTGTTTACTTTTCAAGTTATCCTAACAGTCACCTAGTTCCATCTGAGGAATTCAACCTAGTTTATGTTAAACACCAAATTAAAGTGACTGTGCTTCTATTAACCTGAGGAGACAAACAGCCAGTTTCCCTCATTGTGAAGACAAGTCAATTGTTACACCAAGTAGTTAGCTTCAGTTAAATGAATTTTTGACAACGTGGTCTTTATAAGATCTTAGAAAAGTTGCCAGTTGTTGTTGTTGTTATTATTATTATTGTTATTATTGTTATTATTATTTACTACCATTACTGCTACTAAGCATTAGGCATTAAGGAACTGGGGTGAAATGTAAGATATAAGCTTTATATCTTCCCTTTTCCAATGTCTCAGGGATCTACCACAATTACTCTGTTACCATCTTGGATGTATCCTAGGCAAAGAAGAGAAATGGTGATATCATCAGAACCAAGTAATTCCTATATCCTGTCTGAACTGAATATTTGTGCTTACTTCTCACAGGTAAGTTGAGTTTCACCCTCCCTTTTTATTTACGTATAGTTCTTTTATGAGCACCTGCTTCAACTGACCAAGACTCTGTAAGAAATATCCAATGAGGCAAATAAAATCGCAGTGTACAGAATGCAACCTACTTCTTTGGCCATAACACCCGATCCCCCCCAGGCTGTGAGCAGATCATATGCCTCATTTATTACTTATACTTAATCCTTCAGCTACTGACTACCGAGCTGTTTCCAGTTATATCAACTCTGAAACAAATTCTTGGTAGCCCTTAAGCCCTCATAATGCAGTGTTAACAATAGGAGTTATGCATCACTACCGAAGAAACCACATTATTCAATGACACGATTTTCCAATTTTCAAATGTATTATCAAGAAACCAACCCTGCGTGCTCACAGTGCTTGGCATCTGTGGGATTTCACATTTGCAGTTCGCTCTACGGACATTAATAGTCAGTGGTTGTGCCTGATCAGTTATCAACATTCTGTCACCATAGACTAAACTAGCCCTTAACACTCATCTTGAATTGTCTCCTCTTTGGCCTATGAAATGGTTATCTTGTTGCTGGCAAAAAAAAAGAAATTAAGAGGAAGATAAAATCGCCATCTCGTATTCGTATCACAGAATCAGAGGATGCCCAAGGTTGGAAGCGACCTCTGGAGATCATCTAGTCACCCCGCTCAAAGCAGCGTCAACTACAGGAGGTTGCTCAGGATGATCTTTATAGTCACGGCAAAGAGGGAAAGAAATTAAGAGGAAGATAAAATCGCCATCTCGTATTCGTATCACAGAATCAGAGGATGCCCAAGGTTGGAAGCGACCTCTGGAGATCATCTAGTCCAACCACCCCGCTCAAAGCAGCGTCAACTACAGGAGGTTGCTCAGGATGATCTGTATAGTCACAGAGGGAAAGAAATGCCTTTTCGATTGCACGGGACAAAAATCTGCAGCAAGGCGCAGCTGAAAGGTCACACACAACCTGCTTGAGTATGGGATCTTCTGAGCTCAGTTGCCTGTAACCTTGACTTCTCATTATGCAACAATTAAGAAAACAGAAGGGATGTGGAACAGTTTACTGCTTTTCATGTAGTTCGTTTGTAGTCATACCTTGAAGCCAAAAGGGCAAGTGCACTGATAAAACTCCACCGGGTCGTTGCTGCACGTCCCATTGTTCTTACATGGGTTGGAGAGGCAGGGGTTGCACTTGGACACAACGCTGATATCCACTGGTTCTGGAAAGGCAGAACACAGAGTATTAACAGAGAACTGGATTACAAAATTAATATTTCCCTCACTCGAACACACGTTTTTTTTTTTTCCTAATGCAGTATTCACCTTCCGTTGGCACAAACACACACGCTGTGGGTGCCGCTTTAGACAACACTACAGGATTCCCAGGGATCAGAAAGGATTTAAGTACTTAAATTGAGTGCTAGGCAGGTCTCAACGATGCTTATATTCTCCTGGATATGCAAACATCAGCTCTGAAAAAACACGTTGGGAATCTCCAGAGAGTGGGCTTATATATACGATTTTCAGCAATTTTTCCTTCTCTCGGTGCTGGAAATTCTGCAATAGCAACCTCTAGGGAACTATAACATGACATTTCTATGGCTGGTAACAGGAATGAAAGTGCAGATGCAACAGCAGAAATAAAAAACACACGTAAGAAAGATTTAGTGTGAGGTTTATGGGAATATTTAGGTGCAAAGTGTTTTACCATCCTTAATTTTAACAGAGTTCAAAACTTATTTTATTCCTGTTCTGTCCAGAAGAACAATTATCAACATTCGGCTATCTTGGCAAAATGCAACAAAGACAATTATGCAAAGATGTAAATGTGTGCAGGCAAATACACATAGCCATATTTAAACCGTTTAATAAACCACATTTTCTAGCAGCACTCTTCCAGAAAAGTAGTGAAGTTAGTGGGAGAGCAGGATCAGGAACACAGATCCAAACAACATTGGGTACATTTGAGGTACCAAGCCAATAAATATTTTACCACTGAGATTTTATAGGAAGTTAATTTAGACATTTCTACCTACCGTTAAAAAAATTGCGATTCTGAAACGGCTACATTTCAAATATTAATGAGTTAATAGCTTTTACACATAAAAAATAAACCCTAACACTTTAAAGGGGCTTAAATTATATCAGGCAGTAAAGACCCTAAAATAGTTTTACTTCATTTTTAAGGAAACACATTTTGAAATAACTTAAAATTGGTCAGAAGTGGGCAGAGAACTTCTGGTTTTGCATGAAAAATGACAAGGAGTAAATTGTGAAACAACCTGAAAGAAAAGAATCTTACACTTGGTGTTAGACAGAAGGTAGAGGAAGGCTACAAAACCAGGGATGAAAAAATCCCTTGCAGTCCAGGATTTGCTTTGGACTGGGCTGTATGAGGTATAAACCGTCGTTACTAACTTCACATACGTCCACAGCACCAACGGGGGGTAAGAACAAGACAGAAATGGGGAGCAAGGAGTCTCAGTTGACAAGCACGTGCAATGTAAAGGCTGTATCCGTGTGGGGCGGTGTTATCAGGGCCACTGATTGCAGGGTGCAACGTGCAATGATGAGATAAAAATACAAAAGAGGTAACAATTCCAAAAACGGAAGTAAAAGACTGTTGTCGTCCTCTTCTGTCTTCACATTTATGTGTAACTAAATGCCATATATGTTTTCAACTTGGAGTTAGAACAGCAAGAGGAAATAACATCTGGATTTCTGGCACTGACAGGACAGAATGCAGCACATGTGAGCTACTTTTGTCTTGAAGGTAGAGCATATTAACAATATACCAAAGTAGCTCTGCAGAGAGCACATGGGACAGGCAGAAGTGCTGATCTTCTTGATTTAGAGGTCACTAAGCCAGCATTTTCCCCGATTATTTATTTATTTCATAATACACATGCATACATTTTCCATTTATTCCTATGGCATAGATCAAAGCTAATCAATGTAGAAGCTAATAAGAACAGTGTTAGTTCCTAGCAGTTAAGTAGTTCATTAGTTTGCCCTTGTGGATTTGATTTATAAATCCATATAGCAAAATGCCCTCGGCCCAGCACATTCCTTTCCTCTACTGCATAAGCTAGCAGGGCAATTTAATAAAAAGCAGAGCTGAGTTTGCATGACTTGCACATTACATACTTTTATTTTCTTGGCTCTGCTGAGACATAACCTTCTGCTCCGTCACGGGCTAAAAATGTAATTTCAACAAGAATAAGTTAAACTCTTCTTTTGCATGTAAAAGTTCCTGGGGGTCACAGAGGACATCCACGCACTACTTTAAACAAGTATCTCAAGGTACCAATCTCAGCATGGTGAGCGCAGGCTTTCAGGGAGAGGAGGGGGTTCAGCCCACCCTGAGCCCCGTGCTAGCAGGACCTGAGCTATACCCAAATCTACACAGGCAGATCCTTGTGCTCGCTGCGTCACCCCATGGACAGTCTTGTTCTTCTGCTGAAAGGCACATTTAAAGGTGCTTTCCAGCCCAACACATTCTGTGATTCCAGGCCACAGTTCCAGCTCAGCAATGAGTGATGCAGCTCCAGCCTGAGGGCAAACCTGCACTTGACGCTGTAATAAATCTCGTTGCTTTACCATAAAAGAACATCCTGACGTCCATACACAATAGCATGAGGCATTGGATCTTAATCATGCACATGGAAAATGGGTTCAGTCACTGGTTTTCAAAATATACGTATGGTGATGAGAAAAGGTGCATTTTTCTCCAGTATACTGCCATGGATCCAAGCCATCAACAGTTTCTTCTTGTCCGAAGTCCACCTCCAAATCAATGCTTTTTTTTTCCCTTTTCTATTCAGATAAAGTGAGCATGGAGACAGCTGGGACAGTAGAAAGCTGACCATCTTTCTAGTGCACCAAATTAATATTTACACAAAAAACATACAGCTGTTTTCAATAGTCTGGATCATAGGTTTACTTATCTCTTGCCTAAAAGTTGCTTGCTTAGTTTTGAGAGAAAGTAAATGTAACTGTTGATGTATCACAGTTTTAGAATGAGGACGTCACCCAGCTTCTCTTTCTGGACTAGTCTTCAGACCATGTTTATTATGTAAATATGATCATTTTCGTTTCGCTTTGTGTGAACAAGCACATTACTTGGTATTTTCAGTCTTTAGGGTATATTTGTACTTCGCATTTGAGAGACTGTTATAAATTCTGTAGTTCTGATAGAGTTCTGATAGTTTTGAGACTGACATTTCCAAGTAACTAAATTATAAATTTACAGTTATTAAAAATATATGTGAAAGGCTATAAACTTCAGCTCAGGCTTGGAAACCTGTGTTGTAAACCCATCTCAACACCATCGCTTATTTGTTCAGCAGTTTAATCCCAGCCTCTGTAAAACCATGCTGCCAAGCAGTACTGCAAATGTGCACGGCACTCAGAGGCATAAAAACAGGCTTTACCCCTCATTTCCATTTCAAGAGAGGCTACTGACCCATCTTTTCCACTACAAATATAGCTCTATCTTCATGTACTTGCTGGTAACCTGAGCAAATCTCTAAAACACGTTTTGCAACAAAAACAGAGGTATATGCTAATCTACACTCAGTCATATGCTACTAAATATAAAGTAACATCCACAAGAAAAGTTTGCTCTCATCACTTATCCCATTCTACTGTAGCCGACTCCCATCATCCCAAAATCATTAATAGCTGCAACTCAACTTTCCTGACTGAACATACACTATTCAGACACCAAACCTCTTCTATAATCTACAGCTTCTGATACAGAGCTGATGAGGAAAGTTTTCAGATCTTCAGATGAAAACATACTTTTGGTAAATATTTGCTTTCCAGAAGAATTCTCAGTTTTCAAGTAAACATACATAATAAGTGGAGTGCTCTATATTTTTTAAATAACCCTCATTTTACCAAAGTTTTCTGGGGTAGGTAGAAGGGCAAAACCAATGTATTTGCTCAAAGAAGATCAATCAACATCCTATATGCTAACTTGCCATTATACAATCTGGCGTGAGCAACAGGAATACTAACACTTCCCAAGTTTGCTGGTTTTCCTTCCAGGTGGCTGCGCTTTGTGGAAGAGAACCCTTGAAAACGCAACTCAAATGTAATGTGACAACTCAGAAAATGAAAGCCAAACCCAACTCCCCTCCTCGTGCCTCAGACTCACTTTAAAACCAAGCAGTTCCCAAGAGCATGAAAATAAAGCGCTGTACATGAGGAAAAGCAGCGGGACAGGACAAAGAGCCTCCCGGCTTGCTCCTACCTTTGCACTGGAAGTGGTGGGTTGGGGTGGTGAGCAGCAGCCTGTCCACCATGGCCTCGGGGCCGCTGCAGCGGGCGATGCCCGGCTCTTTGTAGCCTGCCTTCACCCACTCGGAAAGCCAGCGGAGGCTGCAGTCGCAATGCAAAGGGTTGGTACCCAGAGCCCTGGTGGTGCAAAGCAATTAACAGCAGTTATTTCGGCTTGTGAGGAAATGCGACGTCCCTCATCTCCCTGAGGCACGTTCTGGTCTACACTTTTACAGACATGCTCTACTTCAAGATGTGGGAAAGGTTTTTTTGAGTATTTAGGAAGTCTTTTGGATTTATGCCCTCTGTTATTCCCACTCTTTTCCTTTCTTCCCATCATCAGTTACCGAGGTTGTATAAACACCCAACAACAAATCACTTCTTCAAACAACAAATCACTTTCTCAAACAATTGTGCTCGAGCAATTTCACCAGACGTATTGCTTTTATCACATTGAACACATTGGCTTCTTTTATTTAAGCTTTTGTGAGCATATTCTATCGGTGAATCGCGTAATTTAGTTGGGCTGTGACGATCCATGCTAATGCCTCACAACTAGGGAGCCCTGCTTTCAAAACTGCAGCCTGGTGTCCACTTTGTGGCTTTGAAACATATTTGCTGGTTAACCCATCACTTGAGTTAGGTTTCTGTGGTTGGAGTAGACGTGTTCACACAGTAAAATTCTAATTCATGGAATTTTTTCACCGTTCACGGAGATATATCCAAAATAAACCAAACTTTTTTTACCTTAAATTTAAGTGCTGCCTTGTCTCGTTAATACTATTTTTTTCTCTTAAAGAAATTGTCTTTTCAGGCAACCAACGAATTACAAACAAAGTCCAGATTTCAGAATGTGAGTTTAAAAACAATTAATTTTTGAAAGTGTGAAGAAATGCATGTTGAAAGTTTGAATTTCTTTTGCTGAAAGTAAATGTAAGGCTTTAGCTGTACAACACCTGAATTGCCATGGGCAGAAAATTAACAAAAATAAAGATTAGCAAAGGGAAGAGGTACTAAACAAACCAATAATTCAAATTGGGTTTTAGACTTTATTATTTCTGCGTATGTTGTAAACTATTTTTAAGATGGTATTTTAAACTCAAGCTTCTTTCAGATAAAAACATATCAGGATATTAAGATAGAAACCTCAGTAAATTTGTTGATACATTTCTACTGGAGTGACTAATGAACTCACTGTGCCCTAGACAGATTCATAATGAGAGTTCATAGGTTCAAACCCTGTCTAGGGCTCATTCATCAAAATTAAATGTGTACTGCAGCACAGTATTAAAAAATATCCATCCACTCCCTCTGTAAATCCATTGCTTACAATGGAAAAAAAACTACTGGGTTGACTTTTTGACCCTGTAACTGTGATCAACGGGCTCACTTGTCCAAGGTCAAACAAAATGCAGCAGTGAAAGCTGGACTGAGAAATTAACTTCAGTGTTGAGCAACTGCCATGTATAAAAAGGGAGTGGGAAGACAAGGAAAAGCTAGTTGCCGTTAATTAATCTTTATAAACTACATTAGAAATAAAGCTGCTCTATATATACTAGTAATTGCCAATAATATGGTCGTACAGCTGCAGAAATTATCATACGTATCCTTCCATTCTTTTGTTTGTGGTGCTGGTTTGGTTGGGTTTTTTTCCCCTTCATTTCTAGGAACTGGAGTGAATTCTTGTATTCTCGTTCAGGAGTTCTAACATGCTTTCTCTATTTATTTGCCCATTATAGCAAATATTTCCAGAAGGTAAAAATATCTTCTGCTGCAATGAAATACCACCATCAGCATTTTCAAAAGGTTGTGCAGATAGTTGTTTTACACTAAGCAGACATTTCTGTTTTACACTTTGCAATAAGATGGGTTTTGGTGGGGTTTTTTTTGAAGGCAACTTAGAATAAAGTCAACTAAAGTAAGTCTAGCCACGATAATGCTGGAAACAAAGGAGGGGACAGCTTATTACTATATGTAATGAACATAAATTTGAGTAAAGGAAATTTGGTGCACGTCTTCTTTTAGGCTTCAGCTATGGAAAAAGCGACTGAAGCATCTAGATCTTGGTTTTGTTCCAATTACAGACCAATTTAAAGCTATTACAAAAGACCCTGACTAAAATCAATAGTTTTGTCTACGCTACACAAATACGTTTTTGCAATTCTAAATGTTAATTTGATAACCTTAAGACCCTCTTTCCCCCAGCCAAACTGTACTGACGTCTGGTACAGCCAGCTTTCTCCAGCCATAATACCTGTCCCTACCCATGGCCACACAGCTTGCAAATTTAACACAGTATTTTGTTCTCCCATGCATTACGAGTTTCAAGAGTAGCATTTTGTATCATTTTTGAAATTATTCCAAGTGCATGCTTCCTCCTTGAAAATACCAGGAAGAGCTCAAAAGGAATTTATTTCCAATTAGGCATGACTTCGTTTGAATAAGCCCAGCTTTTTCTGGCATGCGAAGAGCAAAATCACTGCGGTTGCTCAAAGTTTCAGAATCTTCTTTGAGAAACTGGAGAGCACAACTGCGCTGTAAAATTCAATTGTTCAACTGTGCAAATTACGCCCCAGACAGGTCTTATTTATTTTATGGATCCTATTTATTACTGTTCATTTGAGCTTTGTGTATTTTACATTTCTGGCAGCACGTATATCTAAACAGATAGACTGCGGCGATTGTACTGGGCCAAAGGGGTTTTTATCACTCCCAAAGGTGAATGGTTTACCCAGGAAAATTGGATCTGCACTTCATTTAAAGTAAACCCTGAGGAAAATCCAAACAAATGGAGCATGCTATGTTTATCTCTTGAGTTCTAAAAATACCCTCAGAAGCCAGATTCCCGGTATGGAAGGTGTCACCACGCTTCCAAAAGGAGGTGCAAGGCTTCAGCTCAGGGAGACTTTAACTCCAAAACAACTCAAGAAATGACTTGACTGTACAGGAAACATGAAGAAGAAACACATTTGTGCAAAATGAAGCTTTTCTCTAACTTAGACACCAAGGCGTAAGCTTGAAAGGGCGAAGCTTATTTCTCAGCTGAAGATGAAATTGCCTAAGTTACTCACTTCTGGTTTCTGTCCCCACCGATCTGAGATACCTTCATTTTTTATTGTCCAGAGAGAGAGACTGAGGCAGAAAGCTGTTACACAGAAATAAACAGTGCAAGGACATACTTGCTATCCAGAAAATATGTAAATATGAACGGAACCTTATGTTCTGGTGGGCATGTTTAAAGTTGCAAGGAGGGAAATGGAGAGGTAAAACCTACGTTAAATGCACACACATCTGATCACACGTCTCAACGTGGGCGTACACCAACATCGACCCACGTGCACGAGGGCAGCATCAGGGCAGAAAATGCCCGTATCAGCTCGGGAAATCAGTCACTTCACAGAATGACCAAGACCCACTGAACTCTCTGATTACTTGATGACAGTAATCAAGAAATATGCTACACAAGTACTTTTCCTTACATCTGCTGCCTAAAAATAGGAAGCATCACACGTTATCTCAATGAAAAAAAGGATTTTCATTTCTTTTGGCACCAACTGTTACACTTCAGGTTTATTTTGTAATAACTGCACCTATTTCTGCAGTAATAACTGCAGTTCTTTCATCAACTGAACTGCATTAAAAAACATCCTGGACCTCTATCAATACAATAGTAATTTCTGTAAATATCTGAAATGTCTAATAATTTTTGCAAATTACAGAATGAAGTATTAATGCTGTGAAATGACCCATTCCCATACAATTAAATATATGTCTGAAACAGTAATTCATCAACACGTTCATATACTGACATTTAAGTATGCAAAACATATGACACTTATTAAGCAAAGAATTCACATTTGCTTAATATTTGCTCTTTGTGGGAGGTTTCCTGTCTCACTCTCAAACCATAACACACTCTGCATTTCACATAGACAACGCTGAAAGAAAATCTTAAACACAAAGTCCACAGAGGAGGAAACTGTCACATTTGCTCATTTGGTTTTCCTTAAGAAAATATTTTGGTAACTCATAACAACAGGTTCTAGTATTTTTATTATTTTTTTTTTATTTCCTTTGAACAGATGCACTATGATTATCCAGGCAGAATATGGAAACTAAGCAGTAAAAACAGCAAACCTCCACAACCTTAAATTTATAATAATATGTGCTGGTTTATAAATCTGAAACTGTCAATCAAGCCGATGAACCCAGTCAGAAATACTTACAGATGGGACAGGGATACCAGGTCACTGAAAGAACCTTCAGGAACACTGGAAATATCGTTTCCATGGAGTGTCCTGGAAGAAGGGAGAAGCAGGATGGTAACAAAGCACAGTGTTTTATTTGTGCCCAATAATTGAAGAAGGTATTTAATTTCGTTTCCTTGAGAGTTCCTACGAGCTTCACAACTCATGAGCTTCCATGCTTTATTACTTCTACTTCTAGATGTTGGCATTTCAAATAATGATACAATTGGAATGGCTGGTGACTAATGTTTTAAATTAAAAAGTTGACATATCTATTTAAGCTATTAAAAGTGCATTGATGACAAGCAGACCCTCACATACAGACCTGTCGTCTTCTACAAAATCCCATTAGCTGGAAACATAGAAAAAACAGAACAGGGAAAATAGGAGCTGTGAAAGTTAAATTAAATATTGACTTCAGAGGGTTCCTAGGAGAGAACAAGGGTCCAGGAGGGCAAACACAGCTGCACTTTCATGCTCTAATTTCCCATTCTTACAGTAGGAAATACCTCTTTGTGTGGTATTTTTAAAATCCCTTTGACAAATACATTTATGCTACCACGGAAAACACTTGAAATTAGTTGGCTTAGGCCATGATTCACTCTGCACAAGGAAACTAACGTTTTTCTTGCAAAAGGGTTCTACACTGTTTCAAGGACAATTTAAGCAGCCACTTTATCTCTTTTCTAAGAAATATGTTTATGTGTGTGTTACACAACCAAGCCTAAATGGCAAGATTTTTCTTGCAGCTTGTAAAGCACAATACTTGTATTGAAAGTGGCAGGCACAAGAGTAAAAAAAATCATTATTTACAGTTATGGTTTTGATTGCATTTGCAACCAAAGGACTTGATGCAAAGTGGGCACCACCATCAGAGGCTGTGGCAGACAGAGAAGAGCAGAACTTCTGGTAGCACCAAAGCTCTGGTCAGGCAGGAAAACAGGCAGCAATAAATGAGTGTGCAGGAGGGCACAGGGTGCTGGGAGTGACAAATGCATAAAAACTATCCAGCAAACACACCAGAAGACACACAGCCATGTAAGACTTTGTTTTATAAATAAATAAAATCAGCTGTTCAGCTGCTGCACCCTCTGCCTCAATAGATAAGTATCTGGCAAAAAATAGCACAGAGAAAAATATTTATAATTTATTCTAACCTTTCTAGTTTGCATGCCACTGAATATACGTTTCCTACTTCACATAGTAACAGAAAGAGCTTGTAAGGAGCCAAGAGGAGTCAATCAGCTGGATGCCACCAGACTTTTCTTAAGGAAAAGCTGGTAGAACACTTGCAAAGGAAAAGGACATCATTATTTGAAAAATAATTTTTCTTTTGCACTTCTCCCCTGAGCTCGTTCAGTTATAGCAAACTGCTGTATTCTTTATGCCCTCTTCCCCTGGTCTGGGAATTACTGCCACTGCTCAGACGTGGCAGAAGAGGGTGGTGGAAAAGAGAAACCTACTGTGCGTCACTTTTGTGGCAGCTCTTACCCGCAAGTCATTTATTTTCTAATTTACCTGGTGATTCATGGAACACAGCAATCACAAACTAATTTTTTTTATTTCTGTGACTGTAGACGTTCTGGAAACAGCGCATACTGAGTTTATTTCAAACAAACCAAACATCTGAGCTCATGGAAATACAGAGATGAAAACAAAAGTATCTCTTTTTGCATCCTTTCTTCCCTATCATCCCTATAAGCTTCACCGAGATCTACACTTTTTTTTACGACGCCTTATAACTCTTACAAATTTAACTTTTACACACTGCCTTACTCCAGCACACACACAGCGAGGAAAGATAAACTTGCCAGGGAAAGTCCCACCTTGTCCTGTCTTCCATGAGGCTGGGTCCTGCCATGGGGCTGTGAAATACGTGAGCACAAGCCATGTTGCCACCACCACGTTACGCAGCCACAGGCTCTGTCTCAGCATATCGCCAAGTTTTTCTACAGAGCACAAAATCACCCCAACTACAGCCAGGTTATCCTGCTGGCATCTCCCTCCAGCTCTGGATGCCGTACACCAAAAACTTCCCATCCCGACACCCTGATTCTGAAATTTTCTTTTAAGTGTACCTAAGTTTTGGCTATTAATAACACTACTTGGCATGTGGACCTCCAAGCAATTAAATCAGAACAGGAAGGATATGAGCTTCCACGCAGTAACTCCAGATAAAGCACACTCACTGACTGTACAGAACGAGCAACTGACTGACCCCACAGCTATTAAATAAGGAGTATTTTTGTTGGTATGAGGATACAAGATCAGGTCTGGTCAAAAACTTATCATCAAAATGTTCCTCCCTTCAAGTAGATGGGCATATTTAAACAAGCAGCCACTCATCAGCTTATAGTCTGATCTTTTAAACTTCCTAAAGATTTTCTCTGAATTTTCTCTGATTTTCTCTGAACAGACAGCAGAACTTCTCTTTATCTTCATGTCCTAGCAATTATGTTTATTCTGTGAAGGGGTTCATTTTCTTTCCTAGATATCTTGGAAACTTCTTCCAAGAGAAGCTGAAGAGCAACAAAGCCATTTACCTGTAAGAAGCTAAAACCATTGAAAACATAAAACTATCCAGAATGAACGGCTTGAATATGTATATCAAATATTGAGGTATGTTTATAGATGTAAATGCCTGCATTTTAATTAAAAAATCATGTCAGCAACACCCTCACTCATGCAGCTAAAATGAAATGATAAATTCTAAAAAAACTTAAAACCCCACAATAATAAATAGTGGCAAGAGACTTCAACAGTGCAACAAAATCTTTTCTTTTTTTTTTTTTGTCTGGGATCAACAACAGGGAGATATCTCTGTACCAAATGGTCCAGGAAAAATCTTAAACAATCGGACACACACTGATGTGTGTGTTCTCCCTCAAAAGCACAACTTGTAGATAACCTCTTGTCTGAACATCAGTAAACAGCAGGGGTAGGAATTTAAGGTGATGTGGATCTCCTCTGAGAGTCTTGAAATAAAAACCTTGTTCTACACGTAAACTCACTAGTTTATTACTTTGTCCTCAGGTGAGCAAGTGATCTAAATGTATCTGTATGGGTTAGGGATTTTTGGGCTGTTTTTTCTTTCAGTAAGTGTTCCCAAGTCCTGCCTCCTAACCCCGTGTCTCACAGCACCAGATCACTGTGAACACAAAGGGGATGCTGTTTCAGTCAATGGTGCTCTGCCCTGTAAAGGCAGAAATGTGGCAAAAAGCTTGGCTGAGCTTACAGAGCCAAAAAATTGGTTTCATGAATGTGCCTGAAGAGTGCAAGTGCTAGCTTCACCATCAGATGTATTAATGAGCTTTGAGTTGCAGTAAATATCCATGAGTTTTCAGTCAAAATATTAGTAAAACACTCTGTAGCTCATTTTTAATATTTCTTTTTTTTAAATACAACATAGAAAATTGTTTATTGATCTGAGAAAATATTTTTGTTTCTCAACTTTGCCTCTCAAGTCAGGAAACAATGTCAGAAGATACAACGTCATACAACAAAAATAATCTCTAGAATAATCAGTCCAGGTCTACCCGAGAGTTCGAATATTTACAATTACTTTATCTCAATCTCAGCTTTTTAAATGTGTTTACATTTAGCTTCTAAAAAGATTAGCTTTGGAAAAAAACCCAAAAAACTCAGACTAAAACAAACCCACAATTTTTCACTGCAGCTTCAGTGCAAAAACCTACCGATACCAACTTTTGCTCATCGAAAAAATTCTTGAGGCTCTCTGTTGCCATTGCTCCCCAGTGCACTTCGGCTGCTGTTGTGGATAAGCTGTGTGAAGACTGAAGATTAAAGGCCTGATTGTGTAAACACTGATATTTATTCAGGCTTAAACAGAAACATGTTGACTCTACAGTTTTCTCAGTTGAGCTTGTGCTGAAAAGTGTAAGAGAGAGAGGGCAGAAGCGGAGCTCTGTCAAAGATCAACTTGATCATGCATGTATGATTATTTCGATTTTCAAGTACATATTTATTTATCATGGAGGCAAAAAAGTAAACATAGGGTATCTGGAAGACACTGAAGCTTGTATGAGCAGGATCTGCTACCTTCGGAGGCGTGCACAGCCAAAGGTAACAAGATCTATCCTCTTTATATAAAAATAAAATAAAAATGTGGAAATTGTTTTGCTGATGTTTCCTCTTTTAAACTCCTCCGAGAATATGGATAATAAATCACTGACAATAACAGATTGCACACTGTCACTCAGGAGCCATTTTCTCTCTGGAGAATTGGTTTTTAATAACAACATGGATGACACATGGCCAAAGCTGTAGCTGATACTGGAGTTTTGTGAGCCATAATAAATCAAATCAATCGGGAGGCTTCCAAATGCAGGGAGCGGAGGATGAGATTTCCATTTAGGCTCCATTTCACTCGTGCTGCTCTGTGCAAGGCAGGGCGGGCTTCTCCCTTGAAGGAGGAAGCCTTTTTTGTCAATTTGATTAGCAGAGCATTTGAAAAAGCCAAAAGATAACAATTATTAAAACACTGCCTTTTGTTTCTGCCCGTATGTGGTCTGCAAGGAAGAGTGAGGCATGAGGTGTATCTACACTGTGATTCAGGGTAGAGAGTCCCAAACTAGTTTTAATCAAGCTAGCCTGCATACCAGAAGCGGACTAGAAGATAGCTCCATATGGAAGAATTTATTTGGCCACGAAATGGAACATATTCATCCGTGGCTGGATTTCAGGACTCATGTAACAGCTCAGATGTGACCATCCTAGTGTGCTAGAAATCAGAGTCCCAAAGCCAAACTTAAAACAAAAAATCCAAATTACGTATCTTTCTTGTTTTTGCTACTGAAAACTGGGAATCTAAAGCTGTCTTCTAAGTTAGGAGGTTGAAACCTAAATATCTATTTTGCCACTCAAATACAGTGAAAGAGCTCGGTCAAACAACGTTGTCTTATTGCTTCCACAGTCACATGTCAGCCCCTTAACTCCCTCAGGGAGCCAGTGCACAGCAGCCACTGCTCTTCAGGTTCACAGGCAGTTCTGCACGGGGATGACATCGAATCTTTTTAAAAACAGAAAATGATAATGTGAAGTTTCAAAGCACTCAGGACACATTCTTCAGTTCCTCTGTGCCGACATTTTAGCGTGCCTAAAACAGCCGAGGAGGGGGAGATGCTTGCCACAAGGAACAGGTCCCAGCCCACGCTCGGAGATGGTACCAAGACGATGACTTTCAGAAGAAATTGGAAGCAAATGGTTCAGTCTAGAGAGCTGCTGAAAGCAACTACACGGGAAAGAAAGAACGCAGAAAAGGTCCTCCAAAGAAAGACACTACCCATGGACTTTTCTGAGTGTGCCTCCAGTCAACACAAAGTGAAATTTCATTCACAACTTAGAGACGTTTGAGACAGGCAGCTCAGCATTGCCAGTACCCAGCCACTGGCCTTACTTACTCTTCATTGTAGTATGGGGACTTTCAAGTTACCTTGAGATTGCATTCTTTTAAGGCAGAACCTGCCTGCAGAAATCTCAATTAATAGAAAGTATTCCAAAAATGCACAAGCTGAAGCATCTAATACAAACTTACACAAAAAATATGATCAGGTTTTTCACACAAAGAGAAAAGTCTTTTCCTGTGGAGCACCCAAATATTCTTCAAGTAGAAGAGACACAAACAGACTCTGTGCAGTCTCCTGGAGGCCTGTTCTCATGACAGCTCTTGTCCCTGAACTATCACAGAAAATCCATTCATCCTGCAACTTCGTAATTGCTTCTTCTCAAAGTTTAGCATTCACCTGCTCTAGTCATTACCAGACATATTGCACCTAAGATCAAGTACATTGAAGGTAATCATGTGAAAATATTTATGACTACTGGATCAAGTGAAAGCCATCTGCTCATTAAAAACCTCCCCGTCATCAACAGCATTCTAATCAGCTGCAACTCAGCTGCATCCAAAAAGTGGTACTTACAGCACTCGAAGAGACCTGAGCCCATTGAACGCGTGGACTGGGATGCACCGAAGTCTGTTGTAACTCAGGATGCTGGGAGAATGAGAGAACAGTTACAACACTGTGTTTTCTTTGGTTATTTCACTACTAACTCAACCACAAAGAAGCATGGGAAGACACGTGCTTAAGTAACAAGATATACACTAACTACTCGATGCCTAAGACGATGTCTGAAAAGCAATTACCACTGCTACCAAAATGCTGGAGTACTCACAGCGTTGATAACTGAGTCATGTTGCTGAAGGTGTAATTGGCCAATATGCTTATGCTGTTGTTGCTCAAGTCACTGAGGAAACATACAGAAAATATTGTTTAGATATATTAAAGGAGTAATAAGTGTTCTTTTAAAGATTACGTAACAGCTGCACAGCAAAAAGGTTTAAGCAATTGAAAAGCCACATATAAACCGGTATGTTTTCTAAACAACTTTGAATAAGCTCAGACTCCTCTAAAAAGTCTCAGACTCAAAAATATTAAGGCTTATTTCCAGCATCTAGCCTTCAAAAAACCCAACAGTGAATATAAGCAAAATTTTTGAAGAAGGAGGAATTAATAAATGATACAAGCATGGGTGAATGTTTATCATACCAACTTGCTTTGCAATGTGTTACAGGCATACCATTTACATAGGCTCTTCACACTGGCAGCTACTGGAACAAAATTTCATTTTTCATTCAAAAGAAGTTTTCTAGGTTCAAACAGAACATTTTGTTCTGTTATTGTTCTCCCTTGAAAACCAAAATTGGAAATGTTTCCAATAAAACAGTCTTTTGAAATAGAGGATTCCAGTTTTCCTTCCCTCTCCCCTTTTTTTGGTACCTATATATTTTGTGGGGGTTTTTTTTCCTCCCGAAACACTATTTATGTTCCACCTACAACATAGTGCAGAGTCATGTAATTTTCTTGACATTGAAACTGCGTGTTTCTTACATCAGTGTCAGGTGTTTGAAGGCGGAGAGTCCCTTCGGCACAGCAGTCAGGTGGTTTCCTTCCAGGTATCTGAAAAAAAAAAAGAAAAAAGTCAGATTTGACAATTACACAAACATGGAAACAAGAACTCCTGTCCTCAATCTGCACCAAGAATGAACAAAATACAAAGTCAGTCCCAAGGAAATGATCTTTGATTCATTGCTTTGAAACTACAACAGTTTCTCCTTTTTAAGTGAATTATATCACATGCAAAGCATGATAGTTTTTTACTGTTTTGTTTTGTTTTTTTTTTTAGGACTTGGAAGCAAATACAGGACTTCTCGCCTGCAGCAAATAGAAATGGCTGTTTGGTTCTTCTGTGAGAACAACTGAAGAAGGGGAGAAAAATTGTCTGGCTTGTGCCCTGAACTTAAAGCTGCCTTTACCAAGTTTCTGTAAGAATGCTGAGCGCTCAGTGATTCTGAAAGTTCCTTGTCCAGCCAGAACTGGGAGAGAAGCTGTGCTGCCAGGGCTCTGTGTTGCAAAAGTCTCACTTATTCCAGTGTCAACACCAACATCGACGAGTCTGACGCCACATCTGTTACAGCAGCACCTGCTATGGCACACACACCCTCCTTACCTTTCCTTTCCAAAGTATGCCAGCACAGGAGGAAAATTTGGTGCAAACTGAAGACCAAAGACCAAGTTCTCTTTGAATACAGCCTCTTCCTACAAGCATTAAGTGTGTTTAATAAAACAGCTTGTGTTTCCAGTGTGGAAGTTACCTGAGACACCACTGAAGGTGTCTCTATCCAGACATATGCACAGTAGAGCTAAAGCCTTTTTGAGATAACCCTACGTCCTCGTATGGTCACACAGTGCTGCACTGTGCAGTTTTTCTCCACTGAAGAAACATGAACATCCAGTAACCAAGGCAAAACCTTTGACAAAATACAGTACTTTGCAAAAGTTTGCCCCGAAGAGAGCACAGGTACTCAAGACTCCACAGCTGACCTGTGGTAGCAATGGGATGTGGGGCTTTTTCTGTTTATTACAGAATAATAGAGCCACAGCTGGAATTCTTTTCTTTAATCCCGGCTTTTGGGTGAAACTGCATTCCTGGAAGATATCAAAGTCATAAGGCTCCAATAGAGACTGACCACTGTGGTGCCGTGACACTGTCAAGGTGATCCTCCAGACATCTGCCAGAAGCCATATCTACCCAGGAAACAAATCCAACCTCCTCAGAAAGTGCTGTGTAGGAGGAAGGCATTCCTCCCTCCACAGGTGAGAATAAAATATAAAATTATATTTCTTTTCCTTACAAGATACATGGGGGATTTTTCCTAAGGTAGACATGGGGCAATGCAATTGATGTGGTATGTTTTGAAAGATAATCAAGCGTAGTCAGGAAATGTAGCCCACAGACACCAGAACACTCTACTGCTGAAAATACAAACCAATAATCATGTTAAGAATTTTTATCCCACATATACAATTTCCCTTTCTTCGGCAACAGATTTATTATTCTGCATTTACTATAGCAAACAACAATATTAATAGATTATTTCTGTGCTGTACGTTCCCTCTCTACATTAATTGTAACAACACAGAGATATTTGTGTAAACTAAATCCAAGAAATTTTTCCCACGTACTTTATTTTTACATCATTTAAAAATAAAAGCTATAAACACTAACAGAACTTCTTACATAACAACATTTCCTAGCTGTCACTTTCCCCGCTCCTTTTTCTGTTTCAGCATAATGCCCTCTCACCATTTTCTGCTGCCTCAGCTCTCTTTTCAACTAAATTGCTCCAACTAAACTGCCCCAGCCTCATGGTTATCCATTCTGCCCCAGCCTCACGGTTATCCATCAGCGTGGAGTGACCTTCAGGCATGTGCTGGAGCTGACCTAGATCCTGCCAGGATTAGGCTGGACAAGTGGGGCTACAAGCTTCTGAATTTTTAACCAAAAAAGCCTTCCTTAATGAAAAAAAAACCCAACCAAACAAAAACCCCCTTCTGAACAAATCAGTCTTTCCATTCACAAAGACCACTAGCATGGAGTGACAGTGCTGCACAGCAAACAGATGGCCCTTGCAAAGGAGTCATTTATTACGTATTTGGAAGCTAAATACGATTTTCCTTTAGGAAAAGAAACTCAACTCTTGCAACGTGTTAAAGACGTCAGAAATATGTTTTCAAGATATTCTCTTGTTAATCCCAGTACGAAACAGCCTGCAACTTGGATAAAACGATGATGGCTAGCCAAGGTTGTTCCCCCCATATTTTGCTTTCTGGTGCAATCAAAAGTCGAAGGCACACATTTTTAATGCAGTGCTTCACTATTCAGACTAACATAGACATGCAGACCCCTGGAGTTCAACTCCCACAAAGGAAGTGCTTTGAACAGCCTCAGATTCATACCGAAAGTCATCTGACAGTTATATAACCGTGCTTGCAGAAAACTGCAATACTTACACCAATGGTATAATAGCCGAACAAACACAATTTTACACTGAAAAATTACTGATAAGATACCTCTCATGGACACATAAGAACAATTCACCACCATTAAACTTCTCACCGCGTCATACCATTGGCAGTGGCAGTATTTTCTAAACAGATGCTCGAGAGGGCTGGCAGCTGGACATAATGAATAAAAGAATTATTCCTGAGGGTGAAAGCGCAGAGCCCAGTTACATTTTACTGTTTTGTTTTGTGTATGTATGTATGTATGTATGTATGTATGTATAAATAAATAAATAAATAAATAAACAAATAAATAAAATGAAGGAAGCTACAGACCCCCTGCCCAAACAAAACAAAATAAGCCATAACAGAATGATGTGGAGGGAAGACTGTATTTTTAATTCTTTTCCATCCCTAGCCAAAGGAAGATGATTCTATGTACACGGCATCTGCTATGCAAAGAAATTCTGGCATGAATGAAAAAAATGCATTTTTAATTTCAATGCTCAGAGTCCAGTTATTAACACGGAGACAGTCAGAGTCAAGAGTGGGTGTCAGCTGCCTTAATACAGACACACTGACTGGTATCCAAACCAGCCTCATTCCTTAACTCCTCTAGACTCTCTAGTTTAAATTGCAGTTTGGAAATTGTTTTTTACCCCATGAATGCTGCTGGGAATCCTGAAGTCTCAGCAATGACTTGTAACCAATGAGCAATTTCCAGAGCCAAAATTGAAAAAAAAACCCCCAAACCCAAACCAAACCCATGTGTTCGCATTCTCACAGAACACCAGCAACTACCTACCAAGAAAGGCTTCTTCTAAAACAAAACCAAGTGCTGGAGATGAGGCACTTGCCGGCTCTTGGAGCCCAGCGCCTGCAGCAGCCTCGGGGCTCATCCAGCACCTTCCCCACACGCTACCATCACACATAAAAAATTCAAAATGATGCATAAAAGATGACAGCTGTTCTTCTTCCAACTTGTCTATTTTTGTACTGAAACCACTCGGATTGGAGGTGATATAACCAGCGCAAGGTGCCAGAGCATCATGTAACGATTTGAATCACTTGGAACCTTTTTTGTACCGAAATGTCTATTCAACCATAAAGTCAAGCTCATGGCAGCAATCTGTGCTAGGAGAGAAACTGGAGAGAGAAATCAGTGCACAGGCAGTAATTGAAAAGGCACAAAGCCTTCCCTTTAATTTCTTTATTTCGTATAGAATGTTACATTACAAAAAAAAGATGATACTTGACAATTTTATGCAGCTCTAAAATTACGTTGTTGTCTAAACTTTTTAATGCAGACGCCTCAAAATTTTCGGATACTGGGTAACTTTCATTGCCTAAAAACGGTGGTCTAGAAGGGAACTGGACTGTGAAAGATGAATCATCCGCGAAGCATGAATTTTAAAGAACTTCAATTACAGTTTCTTGCAAAGAAGCAAAATTCAAGTATCCATCTAGGTACAAATCTGGATCTTGAACTTCCTTAAGTTTTGCCAAATAGGGACTTCAGATTTTGGTGCATTTAACCCACAGGTCTGACACACAGAAACATGGCTGTGTTTAAGAGAAAATTGAAGGCCCTAAAGTCTCTACTGGTGCTAAAGTCACCTTTCTGTATATACTTCATCAGTCATTGAACACATTATTTGATAGTACTGATATTATTTATTTTTTCTAAACTACAAGATTTGAAGTGATTTAACTCCTTTATTTTAGCTGTAACTAAAATATCCTTCTTACAGAACTATCCATTCTTTCAATGGGAGAATTTTCCTCTGCAGTGAATTAAGCAGCCTGTAAAACACATGACACAGGACCATGTAAGCCTAAGCTTTGATCTAAATTGTTTCTCCTTCATTATGAAAAGAAAATTCACTGAAGTCACTGTTAAGGGTCAGTGTTTATGACAGTGCGGATTGCCAGACAAGCAAAATAATTTGCATTCTCAGGCAGATGATCTTCCTCAGATGTCCCCCTTCAGAGTTATCCCTTTGATCAACAGCAATACAGGCATATTGAAAAATGGCACTAAATTACTACAATATTCTACACCGATCATAACTAACAGCTTAGAGCACACCTACTGCAACAATTCACATGGCCCAGGTATGTTTAGCCACAAGCAAAGAGCAACCACAAGTGCCTTGGAAGATGGCAAGGAGGACTGAGATTGGTGAGAAGCAAATGCATGGGAAGCAAATGTCAGAATCATCTTGGCAACTGGAGATTCAGCTGAGTAAAGGTGCCACGCTAAGGTCAAGGCTGCAACAGGCAGCAAACTGGAGATGGGGAATAAAGAGCTAAAAGACAGCTCAATGGGATCCCTCTGCCAGTAAAGCCGGACAGTCCCCTCAGAAAACTGTCGTGCCAAGTAGTGAATGAGCTTGCAGGAGAAATGAACCAAACACACAGAACAAAAACCACAAACAGGAGAGAGAAGGTTTGTGCGGAGAGAAAAAGAAATTGCAAAAGTAATGTGACTATTAGTATATATTAACATAAATGAAAAGTAATCACTAGCAACGATGTGCAGATGCACGTTCTCCTAACAATCCCATCAGCACTATCATACAGCTCAGTGTCATGACAACATTTGGAGTCTAGAGGTGAAATGATTAGCACATATTTATTCTAAAATACACATGCTCATTATGTTACAGCTTATGTACATGCCGTCCACATAATTGCCTCCAATGTTTTTCCCCAGTGCAAAATATTATTTGCTGTAGGTCCATAAAAGCAGCTGGATGCTGTCAGATAAGACTTTATTAGAAATAGACTATACTTTTGTGAAAAATTCCCCCCCCCCCAAAAAACAAACAAACTAGTGTTCACACACTGAGGTAATATGTAAAAGGAAAAAGAGCATGGGAAACAGTTCAAATGGATGGGGGGGGTGGAAAAGGAAAGGAAAGCTGCAAACACTAAGCAGCAGCAAGGCTAAGTTCCAAACTAGCTCATTGCATGAACATTTTACATCGAGGCTAAAAAGCAAAAGTACACTGAAAAAACCCAATGTTTCTCTTCAGAGGAAGCAAACAGTGGGGAAAAAATGTAGGCAGTATGTAAATATACAGCAAAGGAATTTTCAAGAAACAACCTAGTATTTCCCGGTTCCCAAGAAGCTGAAAGAGGGCTTGCCCACAGTGACGAGGGTTTTGTGAAGGAATAGCTGGGAAATACAAATTTCTTGCATCATCACCTTTCTAAAAAGCCAGGAGACTTAGTGATCTTTTCAACTCTACTCTAGATGGAAGCCTTCCTCTGCCGAGGTAATCCCTCCTCCCAAGGGTGGTACGAACCAAACAGGGATGTCTCCTGGCATTCCAAGCTCTAACTATGAAGGTTCTAATGATTTTCACATGTTTTGTATATATATATACACATCCAAAACGGAAACTCGGGAAGAAAGTTGGAAGGAGAGCGCCTATGTCTCCCCTCCACCATGTAGTAAAACATTGCTGGCAATCCTTTTGCTGGGCTTCAGTACAGGGAAATCTGACTCAGCAAAGGGTCGTTTTCCCCATGTGCCTGTGCAAGAGGTATGTTCATTTTTGCACAATACTAAATTAACACCTGTTACGATGAAAGAATTCCTGTTCTAAGACTATTTTAAGACCTCTACAAGAATTGAAAAGAAATTCTGGGAAGGCTATATTCAGCTGTTACAGATTGGTTTATCAAGTTACATTGCAGCTCATTTCCTTGAACCATGTTGTATAGAAACCCACTGCAGTTTAATATAAAGTAAACCAGCTAATGTACCTTGTGAATGAACACACCAATAATGGAAGTTTATAAATGTCCAATTGGTGCACTCATAAAAACTCTTTCTGGTTTTGAGTGTTAAACAGATGTCCACCACTACCACGGAAGCAAAAGAGCTTTAGGAAGATACTTCAGCCTTACGACAAGGGATCTAGGACTGCCTGAGGGAAATGGGTGGGTATTTGGGGGTGAGGAGTGTAAATATATTAAACAAGACAAATCTCTTTCACCCTGTGCCCAAAAAGCTATTGGGTTCTCTCTGCCAAGTTTTAGCTGTCCCCAAAATGCGGCAAGAGGTGGAATTCCACCAGAGATGCTGTTTGTGCAGCGGCGACGGCAGTTCTCAGAGAACAGTAAAAATACTGAAGTTCAAGCTAACAACGTGAGACCTAGATGATATAGTCCCTTCTAGATTATGGACAACATTTTTATCTCAATCTGGAAACAGAAGAAAGGCAAGTAAGATTATTTATTTTAAAAAAACTATTTAATTCTCATCACAATATCCATAAACACATGAAAGCTTTAGCTTCAGTCCCTGCAGCTCATCTTCTGGTATCGATACAAATAAGGACTTTAGTTTCTGCTGGTTGAGAGATCAAGATTGAGTTTTGAGACAGCTGGGACAAATTCAAGGTTATATATGCAGAACATGAAATATTCAGAGCCAGTCAGTCCATAGCTGACTGTGTTCTGCTGACACATTTCTGGATTGAAAGCAGAAAGCCAAACTAGAGGCTTGCACAGCCAAGAGGCTCCCGCTGAAGAAGACAGTCACGTAAACCCCTATGAACTCAAACTGCTCAGTTTCAGGCTATTGCCTCATTTGCCAAGAAACGGCTTAAGCAATACAGCAGTTTTCAAGAATGTGAGATTAATTTCACTCTTTTTGTGCATGTTACATCAGCAGTGTATCAGATAGCATCAGTAAAATAATATGCAAAACTGAAACATAAACATGCCTCGGCGTGGTAGCGGAAAGCAAAGTAACACCTGTGATACCTTATTGTCGGTGAGTCATATGTGAGCGTAATGAAACCTGAACAAGAACAGGTTTATTAACCATGCCCTTGTTAACAGTGTTCCAGGGATGTATCCATTAATGCAAAACCTCCATGTTAATTTGAGTTACCACATACGCTTCCAGCATTCAGCAACAAAGTCTTGTATTTGAGTACAACACTGATAAAACCAGTGCAAACCCCATTCTCCCGTCATGAAAGAAGCAAAAAAAGATGACATATCATTCATCAGCTGCCTTCTTACTAAACAGTACAAATACTGTTAGATCCTAAAAAATAGCAAAATCAGATTTAATTCATTACAAAACTCACTGAACATACCAACTAACTTTGTGAATTACTTTCACGTAGAAAGGTTCCTGAGATTGTTACAAGCTTCAGTAACGACTCACCTGGGAGAGATTTGAATAAGGACCTAAAGGGGAATAGCTCAGTATTTCTATTGCCAACTGTTTCAGTCAAGCAGTTCCACCAGTGCATTTTCTTTCCACGGAAAGAACCAAAATCCATATCAAGTAATAGTGAGGGATAGACGAAAAGATGGCTAAGAAGATGGTTCTAAACTAGGATAAATTTAATTACAATTTAATCTAATTATCTGTTATTTTAGCCATTTCATAAGGTTTGGAGAAAAGAAATAATTATTTATTTGCACCACTGGCTTTCTTTTCTTTTGCTTTTTTTTTTCCCCCAGTCTCCTCAGAGGATAATTAGCTCACAGCTGCATAAGTCAGGAACATATTTTCATCATCCTTTCAAACTTCCTATTGTGAGCTTAGCCTTCTCAGAAGCACCACAGGATTACTTGATATTAATATACACATTTGTTCTCTACACACAGAATTAATGGGTACAAGGATAGATAAACTCTGTTCCCACTACAGAGCAATGCAATCAGTCAAGGGAGAAATAAGTATAAAAATAACCACCAAAACAGATGGAAAGCACCAAAGCACAAACCCACCAGTCACTAAAGTCAAAGGAAAATCCCCAAGGACCTACAAAGCCTCACTGTGATGCAATTTTACGAACGTCTCATGAAAGTAGCTTCGTAAAAGGTAACTTACAGCTCAGTCACGTCTTTGGGAATTCCTTTGGGCAATATCCGCAGCCCTTTGTTGCTGCAGCGAACCACCGTGTCCACACAGGTACACTGGGAAGGACATGGAGGTGAGAGCAAGCAGCTGCTTTCATCGTTACCTGCAAGGGGAGAGAAAAAGAGCACGAGGAAGTCAGCTCTACACCCAGGGTCACGCACTGTGACGACAACCACGTACGAGGACCGAGGAGGGACATCCCTGAATGCACAGTGGTCGCCACAATATTTTAAAGCAGAGCCAATGCTTTGATCAAGCTGCTTTCACACGGATTCTTCAGGCAACAGGAAAAAAACTGGAATAGCAATATTTTCGAATAAATATTTCTTCCTGTGTCACGTGAATCTCAAATCCTTCCTCCACTCCCAACGTACTAGCTGAGATGGGGAACTCAACCAGAATATTGCTTTTAAATTCAACTAGACAGATGATATTCACTACCTACTCCACTTCATGAAGTGGTTTGGTTTTTTTAAATTCAGCTTTTTAGATGTGAATTTTTCTACTTTTTAGAGTCAGCCTGGCACTTCATTTGTCCTCTGAATTGTAAAACCTCATTGCTTTTGACAAGGATAACCAGGCAAACGACAAACCGAGCAGCATACTTCCAACTGCTGACGATCCATCTGCGTGCACATAAAAACGTCTACTTTCTCCAGAAAGGGTTTCAAAGGTCCATAAACAGCAGATTAAATCTTGCTGTGGAAGAACAATAGGGTTGCTGCAGAAGAAACCACCTCTTTGAAGTTAAGAACATGAAAGCGTGGATTTTCCCCAAAAGCAACAGGCTTTGGAAAACACAAGGCAAACGCACGCCACAACATCGCGATGTGTGTGAGGAAACACTTAGTGGCACGTTCTCTAGATGACAGTGAGAGGAACCACACAACTGCTGGTGAGCACAGGCACCGTGCGGCAATCCATGAGCACGCAGCCAGATGCCACTATGTGCCGCCTGTTGGTTTGTTGGGGTTTTTTTATTAATTTTTTTAGCTGATGTAAGGACTAATTGAGACAGATCGGTTTCTTTCTTCTCTCTGCTGGATGTACCCCTGAGCATTGAGATTAAAGAATAAGCCGGGAAGTCCTGATACAAGATAACAGAATTACGCATAAATGGATGGGTAGGGAATCATTTGTTTTCAGAGGGGTGGAGGAGCACAACCAGCCTGCAGAAGAAGAGGGAAGATAATTTTTTTTTCTTTTTGTTCCCAGCTGAGCTTAATGACTGGAAACAAAATGCAAAATCTTTCATAAATCTGCAGAAAAAGCACGTTCCTTCAACATATTCAATTTTCTCCTGTGTTCAGTGTTTTACACCCTGCCATCATCTACTTTCCATTCACCATGGCTGTCTGAGTGACTGTATGATAGAGAAAGCTCCCAAGTGTGGAATGTCACTTTGTGGACCAGGATTTATTCTTTTTTTCTTCCAAACTAAAAGCAAATTATTCTGTAATGACTAAACTTGGGTCTCCTTCAGCTCTGAGCCCAAGCACCTGGGCCTGTTGCCAGATTGCACGACTAGGACAGAAATTAATTTCTACTATAAGCAGGAAATGTCTATCACTCTTACGGTCTCTTTCGAGGTCTGACCAACTGCAGCTCCAGCATATCTGCTCTTAAAAGGCAGTCACAGCCTACAAGTCAAGTTAGCAGTGCATTCATCAGTTAGTTTTAGTTCTTACTCTTTTTCTCTAAAATCAGAAGACAAAGAACTACCTGGAGAATGACAGAAAGGTCAGGATATGTATATATTTGGTTTTTTTTAAATTGGCAAAGCATTAAACATCGCTGAGTCATTTCAAATAATATCCCCTTTTTTTTTTAAATTTCCCTCTATTCATACCTGTTATTGGTGAAACTGATCATTATCCAAAACTAAGAGACTTTCCAAGAAGGCACCATTCCCACTGGCTTCAGAGAGTGTACAAATAAGAAAGTGGGAGGACAGGTCAGGATTATACTGGGATTATACAAAGCAGAGCATTTGTCTATAATAAATTCATTCTTATACTTGAGGTGTAGATAGTAGAAATCCAGAAACTGGAAATCAAGAATAAAAATAAACTCCTGATAGGGAGCAATGATCACCAGCTCCGGATGGCCTAGACTAAACTGAAACGTTTACTCCACAGTCTTGCTCAGTAGGCATGGAGTTCCTCACAGAGCTGCCAACATTACCATACATGTCAAACTTAATTGGATTTTCTTACCATCGCAGGTGAAGTCCTGGACATCTACATCTTGGATTGGAATATCCTTTAAGAAAAAGGGTTTCAAGCAGCGTGGATTTCCGCTGACAATTCTCTTCTTCCTCAACCATTTTCCCAGCCAGGCCAAATGGCAGTTACAATTAAAGGAGTTAGCCAGCAAATTACTGAAATGAAACAAGACGTAATTGCATCAGATATGAACGTACAGAAATACTGAAATGACTACAGAGAGATGATGGGCTCCAAGTCCAAACTCTTTCCTGCCATCTGTTTCTGTGAGATTCTCCTCTGTTCTACAGAACGGGGAAATTCTATGCAGATTTTATACCAAGACTAGGTTACTAGGCTTGCAATAAATATATATATATACACATACATAATATGCATTAATATATATACAATAACATACATTTTTTATATATAGATACGTATGTGCATTCCACTGATGGAATTCTCACATACGTGAATAAGTCCGTGAGTTAGCATTTTGGTAGTACACAAAAAAAAAAGATGATAATGAAATTTCTCTAAAGCATGACACATCTTAAAGACATCAAACTTTTAACGCCTTAAAGGAACAGGCACTTCAGATGCAGGTGTAGTAGCTGAAGACTTTTACAAACCTAAACATGCAGTCAAAAAATCGCATTAGGTTTTTCAGCCAAGCAATTCCTTCAGAAAACAACAGCGCTGAAGACAAAAACATATGGCACAGTTGAGGTGCAGCAGCAAGGAAAGAAACCCAAACCAATTCCTAAATTATATAAGTTCTAGGCCAACATCACATGCCCACAAGATGATTTACAGCTGCTCTCTGCATTGTAAAAAAGCATACTTCCATCATCCCAGTAGCCTGGAGCTCCTGCGTCTGTAACTACATGTGGATCTAGCACAGGCTATTGTACATTGTGTAGCAGGAAAACTGGGGGGGTGGAGAAAATTCAGTATAATTTTGGATAATAAGTATACTCAGCCTACTTCAGACTGACTAGGATTCAAAGGCAAGGCTAACTTGTTGCATAAAGGTGAGAAAATGAACGTACTGCATAGGAGCTTTTCGACAGAACATGCAGAAAAGCACTGAATGGGTTACTCTAATTCTAGGTACTTTCTTTCTGAATTGTTTTCCATTTTCTTTAATCCATAATGGGACCACATGCCGGATGCCTCGTATATTTTCCATACGGACATACTGGCGTGAACAGAGTGGTTAAACCAAATGTTTAAACCTACAAGACTAAGTGAACCAACGCTTCAAAGGCCATTTGTTTCCCTGATGGAAGAGAGGGAGATCACACTCACAGAACAACTTCCGTGACACAGATCCTCAGAATGAAATAATCCAGTTGGAACAAATGTCAGGTGCACATAATCAGATTTCTGGAAAAACAGCAGCTCTGAACATAAAGAACGTTTTGCACATCTAGAGAGCACCTTACCGGGACATATCAAAAACTTTCAGAAATATTCAGATGCTCAATCTACAAAATGCTCCCACCAAAATATAGCAATTTTTCCTTCCTAAATGAGGAGAGGTTGCTTTCAAATAACGTGTTCCTGCTCACTACCTGAGCAGCAGCAGCTACTCACAAACCCTCAATTCCGTCTTGGCAAACACATATGATCTAAAAACATATGATCTAAAAATCTATCAAATCTTACGATTAGGATTGGGACTACATTTTTCTCAGGAACTAAGAAAGAAATAAATTGTTACATAAAAAAATTAATAAATAAACAAATCTACTGGTTTAAAATTCAAGTAAGTCTAGGTACAAAAGGACAAATTTGTCATACATTACATTTTGGAAACATCTACATTTTGTCCTTTGTCCAACTGCAGATCAGTGATTACTTCCTTTAATGGCAAGACTACGAGTCAACTTTTGGAAAAAAAGTAATATCAAGGCTCTCTGTAAGGTGTCACGTGGAACAAGAGATTCCCTACTTGACTTGAAAAGTAATTGAAAGTCTGGAAAGGCCAGTTATCTGCAAAAGCTTTATTTTGGAATCTGGCTATTCGAGTTCTCAAATCACAAACAGTAATGCTGGGCAGACAAACTGTTATAAAACCTCATAATTAGTAATCAGAGTTTCTACACTTAAGTGATTTAACCACTCAAACAGAAATAAAGTAATCAAGCTTTAAGCAAAGATGGCATACTAACATCGAATTCAGAAGTGTTTACTCAAGGACATGGACGTATTTTCAAAATTAAGGAATGAAATATGCATATCCTACTACAAGCATCTCTTAAAAATTACAAAGAAGTCAGGGAATATCAACTATTTAAATGGACTTTAGTGACCTGTTAGAAAAACATGCTGAAACGCATCTGGATATTGTTGAAAACAGGTTGAAAATAGATCCTGGAATTCAGGTTAAGTTTACACTAAAATAGCTGCATGTCATTCTGATGAACCAGTTATCGTTCTGGCATTAGCTCCATGCAGCTATTACAATAATAATTAGTGGAAAACTTGTTCTGCTTGCAAACATGACCACTTGGCTGGTTGGGTTTGCGGAAGTCATGACTGAACTCTCTGTATGCAGAAGTGGAAACACACTTCACATTAGGATGCTACGGTACCTAGTTTCGTTAATAACAAACAAAAACCTGGTAATTTTTTACCAGAAACTTACAAAATCAATGTTCTTTCTCTATGAAAAGCCCCTAGTAAGGGTCTTATATTCAGAGCTGTCCATGTTTTGATAGTATCAACGAGGCTGACTCACAAAGAGCAATAACAAAAGGAAAAATATTTTTTAGTGCCGTAAATATTACAAGATAAAAATGGAAATGTTAAACTTCACATGAATTTCTGGCTCCCATTAACAGATGCAAAAATAAGTCATCACAACACCCAACTAGTTTGAAAGTGTGGGCTGAACAGGAGAAGCAGTCACACAATCTGTCTTCAGTAGTGCTGCCATCTATTATATCCACCTACAACAAAGTACTGCTAGGAAACGAATGCATCTAAATTTTGCATTTATATGTGAAATACCACCATGGCCTTAAATTAACGTCTACAGAGGTCAAAAGCACACCTTCTCCTGTCTGTAGATCAAATATGGAGTGAAAACGTGTTAAAGAACAAATTTTTTCATCAAGACACAGCTAGGAACCTGCTATGACCAATGTGACTACAGACTCGGTGCCAGGGCAATATATTCGAATGAGCAGCAGCTTTATCTGCTGTTGCTAGAAATTGTAATTGCCTTTATCCACAAGAGAAAAAAAAAAGAAGAAAATGGTTATCATCTAACAAAACGTGAGCAGGATGTTTCTACACAAATTCGGCAGGGACTTTACAGCCTGATGCAGAGAGTCAGGGCTGTTAAGGGATCCACGGAAGGAAGCATGGAGCCAACTGCATGGGAGGCAGGCAGGCATTGCTTGCAGCAAGCACTGCTTGACCAGTGACTTGAAAACAATCAATAAAAATCATTTGGTTGTGCCTCTCTCCTTGCCCGTTGATTTTGGGACTATGGAAAGCAAATGGAAGAAAAGTCTGGGTTCTTCACGCTGTGTGGAGCTAATGCCAAAATAACTGATTTGCTGCTGAAAAGTTGTAACAACGAAATGGAAGCGTGGGCAACAAAACACCTGAGATGCAGCACTTCTTTTTCTCCTCAAATGTAGTATAGAATGCTCTCCAAATCTGAAATGCGATAGCATCAATAGTTTATTTTGACTGGACAACTAGGACGGATTTTTAAGGGCAGTCTGAATGGAATTAACCAGAAAGCTGCCATTAACAGCAACATCAGGGTCCCCATTCACAGCTGGACACAAAGAGCTGACTTGCTTTCCACATTTATCAGTCTGTACTTTATTAAAATGGACACACTACAAAAAGCACTTGAACATATTTAAGAAGCAAGAGAAACACTTCAAAGAAGGATTGAGAAATACATGAGAATCATCCGAAAAGCTTAGGTTCGGATTCTCAAATTCGCATTCAGTGGGACTTAAGTATCAGCTAGTAGATTTCTTCTGATATTTAACTAATTTAACTGAAATCCACAAAAGCTGTTCTTACAAAATCAGACTCTACTGAAACTAAAGCAGCTTCGGGGAGCTTAATGTTTATGATAAGTCACGCACTTCTGAATCTGCAGAGTTTGTTTTGCCTGAACTTCTGCTGTGCACCGCACTGGGCTATGGCACGGCAACACACACTCCTCCTGCCTGAGGCTGCCTGCCTCGAAGTTTTTTCAGCTACTCCAGCTGAACCAATTCAAATGTTTTTCTAAATCACACCTTGAATCCTCCAAACCTGCGTTTTCCATAGAATGGGGTTTTTGTTCCCTAAATGAGGTTTTCCATATATGAAAACCAGTTTGATTTTGAAAGTCAAACATGGTCTTCTTAAAAGGCAAGTACAGAATAACAGCATCAGGACATGTTTGTACCGTAAAAAGATAACTTACATTGTAGACAAAGAGACTAATGTACTGAAGGCTCCAGGGGTGATAGTGCTGATGTGATTGTCATACAGAGAAAGAAGCCTCACCGAGCTCAGTCCGGCAAAGGTGTCGTTGTTTATACAGCTGATAGAGTTGCTCCTCAGCATCCTGCAAGGATTAAAACAGAATTAGGGATGAGGTACAATTTCAGCACAGGAGGTCCTTGATCTAGGGCATCAACAGGTGCTGTGGCAAGGGCTGCACTCTGTGTTTATTGATTGCTGAAGTACCACACAGCTGTAAGAGGGACAGATTCATTCAAACACTGTCTCATGAATTTAAAATGTTCCACATAACATAAGAGATGATGGGAGCTCCACATCTGAAAGTAACATGCAATTCAAATTATGACTAGTGACAAACTTGAAATAAAAATTCAAAGTATTAACTTTGTAAATACCTGGGAGCAAGGGAAGAGGTATTTCAGAGAGAAAGACTGACAGAAACGTGTGACAATAATGACACTAGCTGCATTACTTCTACTCCTATCATATTTTTTTTGTAATCCACACTGCAAAATTATGGAAAGAAACAGCAGAAATCAGGGAACAAATTATGAAAGATTTCCAGACACAAGCTCTGAAATGTCATTATAATCATTAATTGACAAGACAGAAAGCAGTAACCATCCAATAAAATGGTCTTTGCTCACTGCTTGTACCAGATGAAACAGTTTTGGATGATACATCTCTCTGAGTTGTTATGGTAACAATGAACTTGACGATAAAGCCCAATTAATCTGAAAGACTGTAGTATCTTTTTTTCACTCCATAGCAAAAAAGACATGTGTGTATTTGTTACACTGCACACCAGACAACATCTGGGTCTGTAAACATCACTACACAGTTGTGATATTCCTACTTAGGCAAAAAAATTATTCAGTAATTAAAGCATACTACCAAAAATCCACAAAACAGATGCAGCTCGTGATGCTCTCCCAGCGAACTGATCCTCTAAATTGAGGAGGGCTAATTGCTTGCCATCAAATTCATGCAGAGAACAATGAGAACTCAGGCTCCCTTAGACCTCTAAGGGATTAAAATCTCAGACTGGCATCTACCAGTTGGGCGTTTAGATGCTACATCAACAGATACTTCAGAAACACCAAGGAAATTAGATACGGTTGGGAAGAAATTCAGAGTGTAATCATAAACACTCAGTGTCTAAGACCTGCTTTTGCATTCCCGTTCTCTCTGTACGGTTAGGCACCATGGTCTCAATAGTTTTGGGGTGAAATTATGTCAGAAGGGAGTCACAGGGCAGAGAGTTACACCTGGTGTACTGAGCTGCCTGCAAGCCAGGCAGAGGTACTGCAAGATGGAGTGACTGAATTCGGCTGCCATGTATCTTGCCCAGCACCCTAATACACCTCAGGAAATGTACAGTCCCTTTAAAACTGCATTGTGACCCTGTCCAGTGAGGCCTCTTTGAAAAAGATTACAACTTCAATGCTCAAAGAAAGTCAATTAATGGACAGAAATACATATCCCTCAAGCCAATACCATTGGTTCCGTACCCTGGTTCACCACGCACTGTGTGCCCTTCCTGAAAGGAAACTTAGACTTCCAGATCCTCGTGTCATGCTGTGTATATTTAGACTGCTTTATCGGCTAGGGGAAAATGTAGGTCAGGTCAGCAGGATAGCTTGAATGTTAAGCATCTTTTTATTAAAAAATGCTGAATTTTGTTTAGGAGCACTGCCACAGGCTGCTTTACGGTATAAAAATTAATTTAGTATTTATGGACAGTACTTTCAAATCCCTTAGTAAAGTGCACACATTAAATTAAAGAACAGATGGCTCTAATCGCAGAAAAAAACGTTAAAGCAACAGCAAAATGAAAAGTTCCCTATTCATTACTATCCTTCAAGTAAAACTTGATTTCTTTTTACACTTGAGTAACAACTGAATTGTGCCATGACACTTTGCAACATTGCAACAGAAGTATTTGCTGCTAATGAATAAACTGCAGATTTTAAATTGCATTTTGATTCGCAGAGTCTATTTACTGACATCACCCACTTCATCAAGTGCTTTCTTTCCACAGCAAAGAAGACTATACAAGAGAGGTATTTTTTCCACATACAGATCATACATATCTGCCATGAGTCTCTGCTGTCACCAGAAGCCCAGTCCCTGACTGCTTTCTCATCGCAAAATCTGGCCTGTGATCCTTCTTCCAACAAAACTTTAAACATGAAAATAAATTAGTATTAGGCACTATGAGTTTATGTATAAGTGTTAGTTCTCAGAAGTAAATGACAAAGGTTATCGAAGAACAAACGTAATACCAAACTGATGCCTTACGCATTTGGGCTTTGTCTCCTTTATACTCTCCCCAGCCACAACCACATGAATAGTACACCCTCACATAACTTTTATGGTACTTGGTGTGGGCAAGGAAGAGCATGCTGTGGCTAGTCCAAAGCCATGTGCTCGTGGGCTGCTACACCTGCTGCAGGACCTGCGACAGTTTAGTTACGCCTGCCTTAAGGTTGCTTAGCTATACCTGTTCTGGTGGTCGTGATAACTCGAGTCTTTTTTCTCTTCTTACCTACTGATTTCATATAGTTTGTAGGATACTGAAAACCTTTTAGGTTCCTCTGAGTTTTGTTTGAAGTAGACCAAGAATTCCAATTTGGGTGAAGGCTAAGTGGACTAATATATAGTTACAGTGTTCCTACATGCCTTGTTTCCACGGGAAATAACAAATATAAGTATTAAATGACTAAAAGAGCCCAAATTTGACCTGTCAGGATCACCATCATGTTACTCCTGAACTTCTTGAAAATCTGTTTTTCCACGAAAATAGCAGGTGAATCTCAAACCTACCCAGAAACATACTGAAGATTTCATGACGGGGATACAAGACTCTGCCTTGGAGCCTCTTGTCTAGTAACAGATATTTTAGCAGGCACTGCTGAACTCTCCCACCCAACTTACAGATGAACACAGAAAGATGGGTCTTTGCACTTACAAGGTCTTTAGTCCTGTGAGGCCTCTGAACATTCGTCCATGCACAGACTCCAGCTGATTCTCTGTCAGAATCAGCTCCTGCACTCCTGAAGCTCCATCAAACGCACCTTCTCGGATCTCCTTGATCTTATTGTTGCTTAGATTTCTGGAACGACACGACCAGTCACAATAAGAAAATTATTAGTGTTTTACCCAAACATATGCCATCAGACTGGAAGGACGAAGACAGGAAGAATATGTGCCTTTTAGTGGTTATCTAGAAGTGTACCTACTGTGCTCACAGATAGCTCCCCCTCACTCAGCAAAACTACAATTACATCAGATTTATCAAGAGTATTTATATTAATGGAATTACAAGCTCTTACACCTCATGGAATTCTTGTCTCAGGGATACAAGTGTGGGGATGCCAACATCTAAATTATGTCCATGAAGGTATGGACTATGCTTGGGACTGGGTGCTCATCTGTCGAGAATCACTTAATGTTACTACCATTGCAATAGGTACCACACATCTAAATATGGACCACTTTTATTTAGTGTACCAGGAGCTTTACTTTTCTTAAACTCAACGCTGAAGTAACATACAAAACTGTGTGACTGCATATATACAAAAAAAATTTTAATATGCACACGCATAAACTCCCAGGCAATTAAATTTAACGGCACCACTCAAAACGAAACAAGTATCACTTCATCCTAAATTAACAGCTACTGCAATACACACCGTTATTTTCTAAATATTTACACTGCCTATATAGTCTCAAGATGTTTGCTTACAGATCAACATTGGAAAACTTCAGTCTACAAAGTCAAATGAAGTTCTGATGAAATGCAAAATTAACCTTCTGAATATTTCATATTTGCAAAAAACCCAGTGAAGAGAAAACTTCTGAATGATAAAATGCCATTAGAGATGCATAAAAATAAAAGACATTTAATTATTTAAAACATTTCTATAAAAGGCCTTATGCACGTTAAAACCTTGGATCTCAGTCCTTCAAGCATCTCCTGTGATGCCTTGAATAGATTATGATGAATAATCCTATTTGTTTAGTTTAAGGTCGGAAACGCTATTCTTTGTACTACTGTCTACGACAAAAAAGAGAAAGTAAAAGACACGCTCTTGCTCCCATGAAGATGCCAAATTCCAACACTGTTACTCATACTGAGTAACACATTATTCCAGAAATGATCCCAGTACACACACAGCATGAGTAAGAGTTTGAAAATCCAATTCCAGGTGATATAAAACAAATGACAAGGCATCAGATTAACACCTGGGCTACTCTGCTCCGCAGAACAGACAATCGTGTTGGGATAAAAATTGACAGAAGACATGGCAAGAGGACAGCTTGGCCTCAGCTAGAAATAATGTGGGTCTTGCTCTTCGCAGACGTCATCACTTAAAAAAAAGCAACAGAAAAGTTGAGTCTTAGAGACATGTTTCATGTGGGAAACTTAAGTGCACTGGTTTATGTCTGCTGAACAACTGCCAGATAGCGGGCCCTACAGCATGTGGCCCATCACCTCTTGTGCATTCTGTGATCAGAAAGGAGTATGCCAGCAATCAGCCAAAAATAACATTAAAACATACAGAAATACTTACATGCAGATTTTACTTTCCAGAACTTTAGTACTTTGTGCTAACACTCACATGAAGAGTTTATGTTCAGTGTCAAAGCAAGTCAAGGAAGGATATTCTGACATATGCATTTAATTTGGGGGCTCAGCTATTTCTCTAGTGGAAATGTTTATAGCTCAGCATCTCTTCTGAATGCCGACATAAATAAATGATCCCTGGTAAAGATCATGCCACGATGCATATTTGCACAAAAATAAATGAACAAATAAGTAAATGTTTGTGGTGGGAAGGGAGGGTGAGTTACTATAATAGACAAAGACGCTGGCTTTCAACTCACAGGCTGCAGACTGACCTACATTGGTAGTTACAAAGTTTTATAAGCTAGTGTCTATTAAAACATAGGTGCAATCTTAATGGATGATTAGATACTCAAGGCAAAAACCAGCAAATACTGGAGAAAAAGGCTGGCCATAATTCACAGAAGAATTGTCACCTTTATACAGCCCAAGCCATCTGATTTGAATTGCTGCCAAAGACCTTCTGCAGATGAGGACCTTCACTCACTTGAGTTAATAACGCCTGAACATTTCAACAACACAAAATTATCCAGAGAATTGCTAGCAGTTTCAGCAGCAGCCAACTGTATATACACCTTTCCCATGCAAAAAGGTGTGACAATCCCTGATTAAATGCTATGGTAAAATCAAAGTTGTGAGGCAGAGGAAAGACAAGCTTTACAATGATGAGCAGGTAAAGACAACACTGCCCTGCAATCCCGTTTGGAGCGTCAGACGTTCTGCCAACCTGCTTCCTGAACTAAAGCTTCCCATATCACAATGCAAAATCAACAACAAAGTAGATGACAGCATTCATTCACTAAATTAAATGTATCCTCCTTAAAGTGTGATCTACTACGAAAATAAACATGACAAATCACATATTTTTCAGTCTAGAATTACCAGCAAAAATAATCAGCTGATACGAACTTTGAAAAATGAAGGCAGTAGAACTTTTGCTTGCCCTGCAACTCTGAGAGCTCTACTCCGTCCTTCCCAGCACTAAAGGAATCTCTGATATATGATCATAGCACTTGGTAAGGAATTTTTTTTTTAATCAGAAAAAAAGCTTCAGACAGTCTTTACAACAAACTCCCATTATAGGAAAGCCTCAGCCTCTTGCAGGGCTAAGATTCTATAAGGAATTGTTCTTGAAATACTGGTAAACAGTGGGGAAAAAAAAAAAGTCTTGACTGTTTCTCAAGATTCCTATGCCCTCTGGCAAGACTCAAACAGGAACCTGCAGTCAAAGTGGTCACTCAACAAAGGTTATTGTTTCCGTAAGGACTCCCTACTTTACCATGGTGATAACGTTTAATCCTATTTCCAGCAAAATACTAACGGCACAGTTCTTGTAGCCTGGGAGTCACTGTAGTGTGACTCTAGCTTTCAAAGACAGGTCATCCCTTTACACTTGCAAGATCAGGTGAGGCAGTACGGTGAGAACGCAATAAAAGCAAACCAGAGTTCAGGGCATTTTGCAAAACCCACTGGAGCATCCAGTAAACTACTTCTGAACCATCTTAGATTTGTCTGCAGGAATCTTCATCAACCATAAAGATGGATTAAAATTTAGGTTATGGAAATATGGTTATGTATATGAGATTTTGCAGCTAATTATTGAAGTTGATTTTTTTTAAAGGCCTATGCATGTTAACCTTTTAAAAACCAGCAGGGTAATCTTAACAATTTAATTCCTAAATAAAGTGTGGCATAACTTTGCATTATGGATCTGTGACCTTTAAATTTCTGTATCAAGAATTCAATTTTGGTTTGCATTAAAATGTATTAAATCCTGAGCTGACATATCACACAATAAGATCGGCTTAGGAGCAGTATTTACAGACAAATTACATCCCAAAACCTAATTATATATTAGAGGTGGAGTTGGCAGTAGCACCTATTGCAAAGGTGGTCTGACACTTCCCTTTTTTTCCTAATGTTTATTTTATAACATTTGCAAGACTTGAAAGAATGAACTTTCAGATGTCCTTTTCATCTTTAGAGATAGTGGTGGGTTTTTTTAAACAAAAGAAGGAAATTCTTCTATTCTAGAAAATAAAACTAACCAAGATGCCTTTCTCGTATCTCTTTTTTGCAAAAAGTCCAAAGCACTCAATTCTGATTTCAATTTTGTTAATTAGTAACTACGATGTAGGTGTTTTATTCAAAGGATACATTTTCCCTGTAAAAAATCTGATAGGATTTAGCTGAATTCTTTAACAAAGAGATTTAGGATTCCCGTCACAATCCAAGACGACTGCAAGACACGTTTTTGGAAAGTCTGAATTTAGGAGCTAATTTTTCAGAGATTTTTTTCACTGTACATTCCTCTTCAGATGACATCTTCCAAAGTCTCTCAAGACACTGCAGGACACTGAGCTACGGATTGTGCTGAGGCAAAACATGGTGAGAACAGAAACTGCACTCAATCAGGAGATGAGGAACCTGGCAAGGCACTGAGACAAGAGTCCAGCTGAAAATTATTATGTGAATATATAATTAAAGATGATTTTCATGTGTACACACCAGAGCAACCCTAATGCGTCAATGCCAAATCCATGACTGCTTCCCTTTGGAATCTTGTTAGAAAACCCAAAAGACTGTGATAGGTCACCATGCACAAACATGGACAACTGACAGAGCTACAGCGGCAAAAGAACAAACGTGAGCGTACACCGAGAGTGCAAGTAAAATCTGAATTCTCCTTAAGGTCCAATTTAGACACCACCTCAGAGGGCTAATATTATAAACCAAATGTACATGTAAGGGTAATATAAGATGAGTAGGCACCAAGATGAAACACCTGTCAAGATGAAAGAAGAGCTAATTCCTGTCTCAGGAATTATGCTGGAGCTTTACTAGCCACAGCAGAACTGCCGTGCTCTTGAAGTCATTTCTTTGCACATTTCCTTGACGCAGATCTGTTACCAGTCTCAAACTGAAGTGAAGGACAACCAGAGGGCAATTATTCACATGCCCATTCAGATACCCAGATTCCAGCTATTCAAATAATTTCAGAAGAAAGGGAACTACAGAGATTACATAAAAAAAAAAAAAAAGAAAGAAATGTGATTTGAACTAACGGTGTGCCACTGCAAAGCTCTGAGCTGTTTTCTTAAGCCTAGGAAGCAACGCAATTCCGAGACAGATTCCTCCACCTTCTGTTTCCCTTGAACAGACAAGGAATATGAGACAGAGTCAATATTGCCAATCAAATAACAGTAAAATTTCTTGTCCTTTACACACACTGAAAAATGGGTGTTTGACCAATATTCTTCCTCCTTAATTTAATAGCGACAGTAAGACTTAATGAAGAGCACAAGCATCACGTTCCGGCCACACACACTGAGCTGCTGCATCATGACCATTAGAAGGGGCAACCCCATTCACTACATTTTCCCTCTTGGGTGGTGGATAGAGGCCTATTATTAGCAGAAGGATACTTAGTAAAGGCCAAACAATAACACAGAAGGAAAAGGTTGCTTGCTTTTTAACCCCTTCCCTTCACAAAATTAGGAAAAAGAAGTCCAACCTGACTTTTTAAGGATCAAGCTGCTAAGTAAGGTTATGGCTGAAAAGTTGCTCCGCTTGTAGAAAAAACCCACCTTTTCCAGAAAATCCCGTTAAAACATATCAAAACTAGATACTTCTTTGCAACATTAGGTAGCATAAAACGAGTCTGTCTTTGGAGGCTGCCACTCTGTCCATAAGAGAGATAAGAGAGGCACTTTTTATGAGGTGCAGGGCACAACTTCTTCTTGTAGTCCATTGGAACAGCACCCACACACCCCAGTTCTTATCACCTACCAAGAACAGAGCAGGAGGACTGCTCCTTCACAGGAAACAAACCTCTAAAAAACGCCTCACAACCGTTTCATGCTGCGTTTATGCACAACACAAGCCTGTCAAGGCGTCCCTCTCACCTGAATGCTTGATGGGAAAAGGAAGCCACCGGCATAACTTGCCTGCAGTAAGTTTTGAGTAAAATGAAAGAAATTATTCTATCTATCACAGCTCTCCAATTTTCAAAATTGGAAATCCTGAAGGTTTGATGAGGACAGATGCTTTCCAATTTGTGTGCACTTTCACATACTATGCATTTTCCGTTCCGATTTACTATCTACTTCCGTAGGCAACAGAGCACTTCAACAATACCAACAACTCTAAATACATGGTAGCTACAACTTGTAGATCATTCATAAAATGATTAATTCCCCAAGTCTGGTGGCTGGGACTTGATCAGATACAACCCTCACCTCCAAACCACCACCGCTGCATTTGAAACTCTTGCAGAAATAAAACTGACATAAGAATCCCACTATAGTTGTCTCCAAAGCCCCTGAGATCCTACATGGATTCAAAAGGCTAGGAAGCTCCAGTGGGCACAAACCACATGAAACGAATGCAGAACAAAAAACCCAGGTGGTTGGTTTCCCAAGGTAATTTAACCTTGACTCTGGCAATAAAATCTTAGTGAAAATAAACAGTTAGCAACTGGGCCATGGAGTTAAAACTTTAAATAACGTAAGCAAGATCAGACTATCGGGAGGTATCTAACATATTATCCTCCTTCCAAAACACAGCTCTTTAATATTAAATATATACACTGTACAGTGCTAGGACTATACAGAAAGATTTATATTTTATAGATTTTATAATGTTCAAAAGAAGCTGCCCCCATCTGCATCTTGTAACACTATTTTCCTTTGACTATTTGAAACAATCACATTAGTGGGAGTCACATGATACATGCAAAAGACAAAAAAAGCGCTAAACTTTGTAGCCACCTCTAACAATAAGCACATATCTGAATAAATTCTAGGGCAGAACTCCCTTCAGTCTCCACAAGTCAAAGATTTTAAGAAATATAGTCTAAAGAGTACTGAAATGTCAGCTTAGAGATCTTCACTTGTCTCTGTTGTTTAACTGAGCCTGGCCATCCAATAGGCAATTCACTCAGTTTCTTTAAATTCACATTAAAAAGTGGTTTCTGCTGCTGCACTAGTAAACTACAAAATACCACCTCTTCTTCCTATCCTTATAATCCAAGGCAGCGTGTATTCTAACAAGTGACTCGAACTTACATTTTTCTGAGGTTGGGCAATTTCTTGAAGAGTCCAACAGCTTCCAACACAGAAATATCATTGTCGTTCAAACGCCTGAAAGGAACAAACAAAGAGACATTCAATACTCCACAGATGTCTGTAGATCTATCTCTGTGACATACAGGGCTGCCACACAGAGAACTGTGACCTTTGTTAAGCAAAATGCTATCTGCCATCTCTCTCGGACTTGTAGAGTGAAATGAGTTTGGCTTTGAAGGAAAGGGAAAATAGAAGAGTATCTATTGTAAAGGCTTAGGATGCCTGTAAGAGAATGTCATCTTCTTCCAAGGCACAGGATGAGGGACTATTAACCTTAATTATTACAGAGCCTGGTTTGTGTGACTAAACCTCCTTCATGCATTCTGCTACAGAAGACATGCAATGGGAGATGTGGTTCATGTAAACAGAAGGGATCTGATTTCAGGTCCTTTCCCAGGCTTGGGATGCTAAATTCTTCCTCTGAATACAGGTAGCTGCATTCTTCTGTGTCGAGACTTTGCTGTTTCTGGATGTGTCTCTC